GAGGCAATATAAACTTCTCAGAGTGAAAAAGTAATTCAACTTAGCAATGTTGCTGAACAAGAAACATTTTCTGTTGAGAATGTTGAAACATTGATACTGATAGGAGAGAGAAATGAAGAGGCCAACAACATGTTTATCTGTGAGCCATTTGGAAGCTCACACTAAATGTGTCTCTGATTTATTCTACGTCATTGGGCAGATCTCATACTAATCTCTTTTTGTCTCCATTTCCTCAACTATAAAGAGGGAGTAATAATGCCAACCTGCCTCAGAGGGGTGTGGTGAGAATTAATCAAGGCCCATAAAGAGTTTCGAAGGCCAAAGATGAAAGACAGCACACTAAGTACAAAGCCTCATCTTTAGCACTGAATTTGATGGAATATAAAAACTTGTCTATTGATCGAAAGTTTCTCAAATATCAAATAAGAATATACTATCTTGAATTTATATGACTTAAATTTATGAATTTGTTCATAAATGTGTTTTATTTAGGTATCCTATATTTAATTTTTCAGCCTGGGCTAATAGAAGAAGAGAACACTAATTTGAAAATTAAAATTATGGCCAGTTAAAATTGAAAATATATATTTTTAATTTACTTTTTGTTTCACCTCTGTATGTCTTAGTAAACTAATCAAGTGTTTGTTTCAGAAGAACCACTGAGACTAGAATTGCTTCTTGGGGGTACATAAAAGAATAAACCATTTAATTTGTTGCAACCATTTAGCATCAATGTAGCAATGATTCAGTTTAGAATAAAGATATTATTAACTTCTACCTAAGTCAGGGCACTAAATGTGGGAAAGTATGTTTCTCTAAACTACCTAAATTTAGGAGCCAACAGAAGGAGTGTATATAAAAACAGAAATTTCATTTTCAGAAATATGACTCCTGTTGCACTCCCAATGCCATATTGAGTTTCTTGAGTGCTAACTGACTAATATGAAAACAGAAAATATTATGATGAGTCAGTCACCTCTACACTGTATATTAGGAAAAAATATTAATTGCCTACTTTTGGCTGAAACTAAACAGTATTTTGGTGTCATTAAATACAACATCTAGTGCTGAGGAAATGAACAATTTACCCTTCAAAATATTATTAAATTTATCAGTAATTTACAAATGATTACAACTAGAGCCAATAAGATTCTTGATATATTACTTCCTAATTGATTGCTCAATTGGGCAAAATCTTGGATGACATAAATTAACAATGAAACTGTTGTGCCTTAGAGTTCTACTTTTCTTAGATTTTATAAAAATACACTAGTTTTTAGTGACAGTCAACAGTCTTTCCTTATGTCAGTACATGGGAACAATTCATTACTGATGTTTATTTTGCCTTGGGTTGGGCTGTAAAAGTACTCTATAATAACATAACTTGGGAGGTTGTTATTTTATTATATCTTATACTGGTTGTGGTCAAGAAAAAGACAGACTGGAAAACAGGAAGCACTATATCTTTACAACATTTACCATTGCCATTTAACAAAAGATTTAGTTTCACTTCAGTTAGAATTTCACTAATGGTCCACTTCATATTTTTTTTTACTCATTTTTCTTTTATCCCAAATTTTGAATGTAAACATTAAATGTTAAGATTGATAGCCATGGAATTAACCAGCTTAATTTTGGTTAGAAGATGAATGATTCACTGCTTTCTTGTCTGAAGAGTAGGAAGAGCACTGTATTTAAAATGGCTCTGTCCCAGAGGGCAAATCTTATGGGTTTCACTGCCCAGCCCACTCAGAAAAATAAAACTTGGGGAAGTTACGACAGAATATAAACTGAGCATGGAATTGTAAGGACATCTTAGAACCTGTTTTCTTGCCAGTGCTATGAAAATGGTTCTCATTTTTCACATTATTAAATTTAAAATTTTAAGGATTTTAAGATTCTAGGAGATATTTTCCAAGTTATCATTTGGTTTAGTTACCCTTTTTCATCTAAGACTTGAAAGGGCTCCATGAATAAATAAACATATTTTTCTTTGCTCAGCATTTAATTCTTTTTGCAATCACAGCTCTGTATTGTGTGAAACAAAAATATTTCTCTTTTCTCTGGTATTTGTTTTATGTATTATTTCTTTTAGTTGACAGAAATAACTGTTTTCTCCCCAGTGAGTGAATCAGCAATTAGTTTGCAGGTTCCTCTGCCTCAAGATGGTCTAAAAACATTTCTCTATTTGTGCTAAATATTACATAAAGGTAATTTTTTTATTCCTTTAGGTGCATGTGTGTTATATTTTCATATGTGAAACAATAAATGAGTGAGGCTTATTATGATATCTAGAATTTTGTAAAAAAAAAAAAATAAAGCATTTCATTTAATGAAATTCAACAAAGATGTATTTTATTCGGAGAGATGTACTCCTTCCCAGGTAAAACATTCTGAATACATCTTTGTACTCAGGAAACTTGATTTACTAGGGTACCTGATATAGATAACTCATATTTTCCCAAATTGCATCAACCTATAGATATAGAACAGGTTCTATTAAATTAAAGACATATATTACATTACTAGCATGACTTGTTCTCATCCTTCTTCAGGAATTGTTTATTGCCCCTCATTTCCCACCTATTTCTGAAACGGCACAGAAGGTGTTTGGTCAGTTTGATTAAATGACCAGATAAAATACAATGGACTGTAAAATGTTATGACTCAAACCATTGAAATTCATACTCTAAATAGATTATAATCTTAACAGCTAAAAGTCATTCCTGAGGATCTTCAAATTAAACCACTTTATTAATGAGCTTCCTGATGTTAGAAGGAATGGTGTGGATGCTAATATATTTAAATCTAATCAAATGGTCACATTCTTTATTTTCCTGACTCTGAGGGATGCAAGAACAAATCATAGGTGCTCCTCAACCTTAATTTAGCTAATTGTTTCAATATTCTCCTTTACCCAATTTCTTAAACTTTTAATAAGGAGCAAATTTAAAGTTGTTTTCTTTCCTATGCTATAGTTCATCATATTTACTTAAACAACCAAAATGAAGGTAATCAAGGAAAGAAAGATTCAAATAATAAAATGTGTATACTATACAATATACAAAACATGCAGAACACCAGCATTTGGTTGCTCAAGAATTTATTTCAGGCTAAAGCATCCAATGAATCTTGACTTGATATAAGAAATTAAGTTATTCAGCCAATAAGCATTTATTCAGCCATATTCAAGACATTCTGCTAGGCACCCCAAATAGAAAAAACCTATGATCCCTACTTCTCTTTTTTTCAAGACAGAGTCTCTGTCACCCAGGCTGGAGTGCAATGGTGCGAACTTGGCTCACTGCAACCTCCGCCTCCTGGGTTCAAGCGATTCTCCTGCCTCACCCTCCAGAGTAGCTGGGACTATAGGTGCGCACCACCACACCCGGCTAATTTTTGTGTTTTTAGTAGAGACAGGGTTTTACCATATTGGTCAGGCTGGTCTTGAGCTCCTGACCTCGTGATTCACCCACCTGGGCCTCCCAAAGTGCTGGGATTACAGGCATGAGCCACCATGCCCGGCAGATCCCTACTTTTAAGGAACTTAGTTCAATGGAAAAGGCAAACACATGAATAAACAAATTAAATACACAGAAATAAGTGCTATTGTCAAGTCTAGGAAAATTAGGGATGGCTTGTCAGAGAAGATGAACTTTGGATAGTCTTGAAGACAGAATGAGAATTTGTTATATACAGAAGAGGAAGAAAGGGCATCTGAAGAAAAGAAGACAAAATGTGCAAAGGCATAGAGTTTTGAAACGATATGTGAGAAGTTCATTGTGGTTTGGAGCTTAGGGCTGTGGTGGGGAGTGGAAGGAAATGAAATTGGAACACTAAATTGGGGTTACATCATGAAGGGCATTTTACCCATACAAAAGAGCTTGGCTTTTATAGGGCAGCTAGTGGAAAATCAGGGGAAATTGTTAAATAAAGGGGAGGGTGTAATCATATTTGCTTGGTAAGAAAATAATGATGTTAGGAATGTAATAGATGGATTACAGGAGAGATTGATGGGGGAGGGACCAGATAGGACAATGTGGCAATAATTTAGGACAGAAATCGTAGGCGCCTGAACTGAATTAGTGGCTGAGGAAATAGGGAAGAATGGTCAGATTTTTCATACATTTCTGAAATAAAATTGACACAATTTGGGTGTGGGTGGTAAGAGGGACTCCAGATGAATTTTTTACTTGGGAAACTTGAGGACGTTGATTCCATTAACCTTGATGGGAAAGTTCGGAATAATTAGGAGTATAATTACTTCAGTCTTCTTTTTTAAAAAATGTATTAGGTTCAAGTGCCCTTGTGATAGACAAATTAACTAGCATTTGAAAAAGCTGGTCTGGAACTTGAAGATAGTTTAGAATTGGAGATACAGTCTTGGGAACTATAAGCAATAGCTTCTAGAATGTGAATGAAACAATATATCTAAAAATGTGTAACGAACCACCAAGGATGAAACCCTGGAAGAATCAGCATTTAAGAGAGTGTCCCTTATTTATTTTCAACCCATGTCTCATTTTGAAAATATAAAAATCTCAGCCCACCTCTAATCATGTCAGTTCAAATCTTTCCCTTTAAAGGCCCATGACTACTCCCACTTCCTGCTTTCTCCTCCCCTTTCTTTCTTTTAAGAATTTCTGTCACTGGACATGGTGGAATGTGCCTGTAATCCTAGGTACTTGGGAGGCTGAGGTAAGAGAATCTCTTGAGCCTAAGAGTTTGAAGCCGGCCTGGGCAACATAATAAGACTCTGTCTCTTAATTAAAAAAAAATAATAATAATTGTAATTTAAGAAGTGGTCTGAAGAGATGGAACCATTAAAGAAAACTGAGGGGCACTTAGAGAAGTAGAAGGAAAATAAGGGGTGGATGACGTCCTGGAAAACAAGGTCATGTTAACATCACATCGCTACTCCAAACCCTGACCAAATCCTACAAATTGAATGTAAGCACTTCCTCTCCTCACATAACTGGGTAGAATGGGTGACTTGGATGTCTGTATTCAACAGAGCATCTAAGTTTGAGTCCTTCACCTCCCTTAAGTTCTCCCAGCACACCTGGAAGTGCACACGTAGCTTTTGTTCCCCCTTGGGGACAGGGAGACCCTGACCCCACCTTCCTCTTTTAAGCAGCTGAGATCAGGGTAAAAGCAATGGTGGGAGGAATCTGGGGCTGTGTAAGGAGAGAGTGGCTTCATGTCAGTAAGCAAAGCATATTTTCTTTCCACTTTGAGTGACCCAGAGGCGGTTATTGGTACAACCAAAACTAATTTTCAAAGTTTTCAGATTATCCAAGCCCTCTCTCAGTTTTGGGCGCCCTTGATCCTTTCTCCTCCCTTCCAGAGGAGAGTGAACAACAACTAAAACACCATTTAGATGATTTATTTCAATCTTATCTTTTGCTGCTCAGACTCTAGACATTCAAGAACAGGTAGAACAGTGGGAGACCCTCACTCTTCCTAACTGCCCTTGCCTACCACTACTAGGTATTCACTACTGGGTAAATACCTCCGTGGGGAGTTGTCTCATAAATTCTAACTCAGTCCTTATTCTTTCTCTTTCAAACAGCCATGTCTGTCAGCATCCTATTTTTGTTGCCAAAAGCTTTCAAGTAAGCTGCCACAGTTTTATGGATGCCGGCAGAAGACATGAAGACTCCTGGGTCAGGAGGACTTAATTACTCACATGACAACAGGCAGCATGAACTTCATGTTCATACCGTTCATGCCCCCACAAGTCTCATGGATGTGATGTGTGGAAGCCCCGGTGAAAGCTGCACATGCAGTGGGTTAGTATCACTGCTGAGGGACCCTGAGCATAGGAAACCTTAATAAATCATCAGGGAGCTGCAAGCAAACCTATCTAAACTTTGCCTTGGAGGGAAACATTATCTTAATTATACTGGGCAGCAAACAAACCTGCCCTCTGCTCTAAAGAGAAACACTCTCTTCTTCCAAAATTGTTCTCTATAAAAATATCCTTGAAAAAATAATCCAGAAAAAAAGCTAATACTTCTTTTCACACAATGTGCAGAAATGCAAGAGACCCATAGAGGATTGTCTCCCCACAAGTAGGTTCTGCATATTCTTTCCTATTTTTTTTTCTTTTCTCCTTCCTTCCTTCCTCCCTCCCTCCCTCCCTCCCTCCCTCCCTCCCTCCCTTCCTTCCTTCCTTCCTTCCTTCCTTCCTTCCTTCCTTCCTTCCTTCCTTCCTTCCTTTGTCCCTCCCTCCCTCCCTCCCTTCCTTTTTCTCTTTGAGACAGGGTCTTGCTCTGTTCCGGGGCTGGAGTACAGTGGTGCAATCTTGGGTCACTGCAGCCTGCACCTCGTAGGCTCAAGCAATCCTCCCACCTTAGCCTCCTGAGTAGCTCAGACTACAGGGATGCACCTCCACGCCTGACTAATTTTTTTTTATTTTTTGTAAAGATGAGGTCTTTCTATGTTGCCCAGGCTGTTCTTGAATTCCTAAGCTCAAGAGATCCTCCTGCCTTAAGTGCTGAGATTACAGGCAAGAGTTACCTCTTTCTCCCTCTCTTAACTGGCCCCCTTTTATATTTTTCATTTTCTTATCTTTGTTTCTTTTTAAAATATAATTTAATCCATTCAAATTATTTTTAATAATAGGCATTCTCTAATGAAAAATATCAGAAATAAATATCTACCTTTAATCCTATGAAAACAAAATTCGGGTTCAGACTGTTATGGCAACAAATAGTTGCAAGAAAATATTTACAAAAAAGAAAACTCATGACTGGGTGCAGTGGCTTACGTCTGTAATCCCAGCGCTTTGGGAGGCTGAGGCAGGTGGATCACTTGAGTCAGGTGTTTGAGACCAGCCTGGCCAACATGGGGAAGCCTTGTCTCTACTAAAAATACAAAAATTAGCCAGGTGTGATGGTGCACTCCTGTGATCCCAGCTACTGGAGAGGTTGAGGCAGGAGAATCACTTGAACCTGGGAGGAGGAGGTTGCATGACCCAAGATCTCAGTACTGCACTCCAATCTGGGCAATAGAGCAAGACTCCATCTCGAAAAGAAAGAAAGAGAAAGAGAAAGAGAACAAGAGAGCAAGAAAGCAAGCAAGGAAAGAAACTCATGTTATTCTTTGAAGAGTATAGTTTATCAGCTTTAATGAAAATTCAAAATCAGGAATGATCCTGACAAAATTTTACTCACTAGTTATGATTAGTTAAAATTATGCATCGAGTAAAAGCAGTTTCTAAAATCACAGCCAAAATTCTTTCATCTCATTTTGCCTAGTTAGAAAATTCATAGGCAAAAAGCAAAACAAAATTTAAAAACTTGACATTACTGCATTCAGCATATATGATGTGATCATTAAATAGTAGAAAACACACATTTCTTTAAAGTAATGTAAATGAAGTAGTTTCATTTAAGGGGCTAACACATATACATATGCAGTTTGGTTTAACTACCCATCCTTTTTACTATAAATATTAGAAGAGTGAGGTCAGACTATACAAATTGCCACAAATCTGGATGTCTGTAATGCACTATGGGTGGCATTATTGTGTTCATAGGGTTCTTCTCTATTTTCAGGCAAACAAGAGGATTTTACTTATCTGTCTCCTTGAAGTTAGACTAGCTTTAGCTCATGAAATGTGTGCCCAAGTGATGTATATCACTTTCAGAAGAATGCATTTATTACCAATGTTTACTTGCCCAGCCTATTCTTCCCCTGCCAGGGTTCTTGTGGAAACATGTGCTGATGAGGAGGTGCCATAATACCAAAGTAGCCTAGAAGGTGGACCAACGCACAGAGGAATATGAGCCTCAAGGGACTTTATGTGAACAAGAATTAAATTTTGGTTAAGCCCATGACATTTGGAGGTTTTTTTGTGTGTGTATTTTGTATTTACTTTTTATTTGTTTTGAGACAGAGTCTTGTTGTGTTGCCCAGGCTGAGGTGCAATGGCATGATCTTGGCTTACTGCAACTCTGCCTCCCAGGTTCAAGTGATTCTCGTGCCTCAGCCTCCTGAGTAGCTGGGATTTCAGGCATGCACCACCACACCTGACTAATTTTTGTATTTTTAGTAGAGACGGCGTTTCAACATGTTGCCCAGGCTGGTCTTGAACTCTTAACCTCAAGTGATCTGCCCTCCTCAACCTCCCAAAGTGCTGGGATTACAGGCATGAGCCACTGTGCTTGGCCTGGAGTTTTTTTTTTTTTTTTTTTTTCTGAAGCTCTGCTTAGCCTATCCTGATTAATATAATGGTGCTGCTGCAGCTTTTTAATTCTGTTGCAAACTGAATGCCAAATTAGCCCTGTGGATCTAGTACACCAACAAAATACAACTGTTCATTGTCATACTTTAAGGCCATTGAATCTCCCTGTGAGATCCAGAGTTCTCAGGGAGTATGGCTAGTAGTTCTATATGTATGTGTTTCCATGTCCTGAATGAAGTAGTTCACTTTTGGGTATAGGCCCTGAAGGTCTGAGAGTAAGACGTCTCTTAATAGAAATTTGCATGGAGAAGTTTCTTGTCTTTGAAGCAGATGGTAAATCTATACACCTGGAAGTCATGGTTACTTGAAAGCTATCCTTAAAAGGTATCGATACATAACAACTTATAAATCACTTGTAAGACTTATTTTCTGCCCTGAAAAATTCCTAGAAACCTGACTTTTAAGGTATAATGTGACTTATGTTGTCTTTCTCCTTTCCTTTCATCCCTTATTTTTTTGTTGTTGTTTATTCTTAGAAACAGGGCCTTGAGCTGTCACCCAGGCTGGAGTACAATGGCACAATCATAGCTCACTATAACCTCAAACTTCTGAACTCAAGTGAGCCTCACACCTTGGCCTCCTAAAGTGTTGGGATTAAAGGCGTGAGCCACCGTGCCTGGCCTAACATGCTCTTCATTAATGGGAAAGTATGTTTAGGGAAATTATTTTGTTTCAATAAACAGCCTAAGTGTTTATAAAGTCTACAGTAGTGTACAGTAATGCCCTAGGCCTTCACATTTACTCACCACTCACTTACTGACTCACTCAGAGCAACTTCCAGTCCTATAAGCTCCATTCATGGTAAGTGCCCAATACAGGTATACCCTTTCTTATCTTTTTATATGGTGTTTTTACCGTATCTTTTCTATGTTTAGATACACAACTACTTACCATTGTGTAACAATTCCGTACCATATTCAGTTAACATACTGTACAGGTTTGTAGTGTAGGAGCAATGGACTATACCATACAGCCTAGGTGTATAGTGGGTTACACCATTTGGATTTGTGTAAGTACTCTATGATGTTCAGACAAGGACAAATTGTTTAACAATGCATTTGGAAGGATATATCCCTGTCATTAAGTGATGCCGGATTGTATTTTGAATACTTTATTTTTAATAATTGAAACTTTGGATAATTTCTATCACAATGGTAAGATATGGTTAAAATTACAGTTTTTATTTTTATTTGATGTTTAATAATATATTTATAAGCTTTTATATTTTACATATATTAAATATTTTTACTGGCCTTTTAAAATTAAAATACTGCATTAATATTGGTATTTTAGTATTCCATGAAATAAACAGTGAATTATCAGTAATATTTTCATTTTGTTGTAGAATGGAAATCACTGAATCATAACAGTGAAAACATATATTTAGTTGGGCCTCACAGTGTTACAAAAATGTAAAGGCATTTTAAAGGAACCAAATCTATTCAGAATGTGTTTTTTAGCCTTTCCATATCAGAGAACTATATGAGATGTCCTTCTAAGCTGTCTCATTGTTCATAGTCTGCAAGTTGTGGTCTAGTGGACTCTCAAAATCATTAGGGTCAGAGTGGTACTGAGAGTACCTGTATTAGTCTGTTCTCACACTGCTATGAGGAAGCACCTGAGACAGGGTAATTTATAAAGAAAAGAGGTTTAATTAGCTCATGGTTCCATGGGCTATACAGGAAGCATGATGGCTTCTAGGGAGGCCTCAGGAAACTTCCAATCATGGTGGAAGGCAAAGGGGAAGCAAGCATGTCTTACATGGCTGGAGCAGTTGGAAGAGAAAGAGAGAGAGAGAGGACGTGCTACACACTTTTAAACAACCAGATCTTGTGAGAACTCTATCACAAGAATAGCACTAGGAGGATGGTGATAAACCATTAGAAACCACCCCAATGATCCAGTCACCTCCCACCAGACCCCACCTCCAGCCCTGGAGATTACAATTCAACATGAAATTTAGTGGGGACAGAGATGCAAACCATATCAGTATCTACTAGCGCTACTAGAAAAGTAGAGGATAACTAGTCTTCTGACTTCAATAATCAGCCTCTCCCTTTTGAACTTTTTAAATTTAATTTTAAATTTAATTTTTATTTTTTTTTTGAGATGGAGTCTCGCTCTGTTGCCCAGGCTGGAGTGCAGCGGCATGATCTCGGCTTATTGCAAGCTCTGCCTCCTGGGTTCACGCCATTCTCCTGCCTCAGCCTCCCGAGTAGCTGGGACTACAGGCGCCCGCCACCACGCCCGGCTAATTGTTTGTATTTTTAGTAGAGACGGGGTTTCACCGTGTTAGCCAGGATGGTCTTGATCTCCTGATCTCGTGATCCGCCCTCCCGGGCCTCCGAAAGTGTTGGGATTACAGGTGTGAGCCACCGCGCCCAACCGCTTTTGAACTTTCACAGTGAGAGTTTACATCTGGGATTTCCCCCTCCGAACACTGCCTGAAACCCTTTCAAATCTGATCTTAATTTTAAAGTAGGGCTAGCTTCATGGGCATATGACTTGTGCAGTCTCATAGGACCTATACTCAGAAGGGCCCCTTGCTTGGTTTAATGTCATTTTTGCCACCTTGAAATTCTTCGTTCTCCTTCCCCTTCCCCTTCCCCCTCTCCTCCTTTTTTTTGGAGTTTCGCTCTTGTACCCCAGGCTGGAATGTAATGGCGCGATCTCGGCGCACTGCAACCTCCGCTTCCCGGGTTCAAGCGATTCTCCTGCCTCAGCTTCCTAAGTAGCTGGGATTACAGGCACACGCCACTATGACCTGCTAATTTTTTTTTTTTTTTTTTTTTTTTTTTTTGGTATTTTTGGTGGAGATGGGGTTTCGCCATGTTCTCCAGTCTTGTCTCGAGCTCCTAACCTCAGGTGATGTGCCCGTCTTAGCCTCCCAAAGTGCTGGGATTACAGGCATGAGCCCCCGCGCCCAGCCGCCACCCTGAAATTCTCAGTAATTTTTTATTTTTATTTTTTATTTTTGGAGACAGAGTCTTGCTCTGTCTGTTGCCCAAGCTGGAGTGCAATGGCGCCATCTCGGCTTACTGCAGCCTCCGCCTCCCAGGTTCAAACGATTCTCCTGCCTCAGCCTCCCGAGTAGCTGGGACTATAGGCACCCTCCACCGTGCCCGGCTAAACTTTTTGTTGTCCAGGCTGGTCTTGAACTCCTGAGCTCAGGCAATCCGCCTGCCTCGGCCTCCCAAAGTGCTGGGATTACAGGCGTGAGCCACTGCACCTGGCCCGTAGTAATTTTTGAACAAAGAGCCCTGCATTTTTATTTTGGAGTGAGCCCTGAAAATTATGTAGCCACTGTTGTTCCGTGGTTTGCTTTAACAATATCAGGAAGAATGATAGGTATGTCTAATGCATGGCTAATTTTTTAAAATGTGAGATTCGTGCTTATTCTACTTGGATATACTTAGGCACTAAGACAAAATGTCCCTGGGCAGAGTTGAAGTCACACAAGTATTTAAAGTGCTAAAATGTATTCCTTCTTCCCGTTAACACCTCTCTTCTCTTTCCTGTCCATTAAGATCTTTATGCTGCTTCCGGACTTCTCTCAGTCCTTCTCCCTGAAGTCCCACTATTTGCCCACCATGAAAAATACAATACGCATGTATACTGTTCATTTAAAGACAATGCTATCAATACATGCCCCTTTTCTTTTCCATTTCCTGCATCGTGCCATTGGAAAGCAACCTCAGAAGCTATTTTAGTAATTCTTCTGAGGTCTTTTTGTCACCGCCTTCACCACCATGGAAACGGTGTGGGTTTTTGAGAAAGTTCTCAGAAGAGAGCACACCTGCCTCAGGCTTCTCCCATCCTCACTAAAATGCCCTCTTAATTCTGTCTTACCAAAGATCCTCTCCTCGCCACGGATGAGGGGAAAGAAAGGAATGACAAAAAAGATAAAGTATCACATTTTTTCATGCACTCATTCTTCAGACTCAACCCTTTAACCTGATACATTGATTCTACCTTTGAACATTTTCATGTAAACAAGTCCTTGCACTCATTTCAAAACCCTGACTCCTTGGCCATCCATGCCTTGTCATGTGTTCTTAGCCTTATGTTGATACACACATGGGCCTTGTTGATACACACATGAGCCATGTGACACTATTTGGCTCCTTTATTATCCAATATCTTAAAATTTTGTAGTAGAAAAAAACCCACAGAAATATGGCCATGCCATTGTTTTCTTCCTTCCTCTCTTCTTTCCTTCTTGCCTTCCCTCCCTTCTTCTCTTTCTCCCTTCCATTTCAAACTTCTCCTTTGGAAGCAAGTCTGAAGATTTTGTTTCCTGTTGAAATAGTGAAAAAAAAAAAAAAAAGAGGGATATTACGGGTTGTGTGTGCAACCATGAAGCTGCTATGTCAGCAAAAACCCTTTGTTCACCACAGGAAGCAATCTGATCATAACAACTTCCTTTCAATATTCAATACAACTATTGTCCCTGAAGCTTATCAGATAGACATACTAACAGAAGTCTGCATTGGCGACAAAATATAAATGATATTTTCTGTAATCAATAAATTATACTTCTCTCAAAGTGACTCTATTTAGTTTTTTTAAATTTTCTCTGTTTATTAAATTAGC